AAAAGCTTCCCAAATTAATTCTAACATGCAGTCAAGAGTGGGAACCATGAACATAAGAATGAATATAAACATGCTGCTAGAAGCAACAAAGTAAGATGAATGTGAAGGCAACAATTTGTTTCCAAATCAACCTACCAAAATTTTTCAAAATCACTTTCATGTTTACAATTCTGTGATTGACAAATTAAAATAACACTTCCAGGATTCTTATGCCCATAACTTTTTTGTTTTGAAATTGGTATTATAATGTGTAATTATTTCATTACACTCTATTAAAAAGACAGGCAGGTTCACATCATTATTGGTATGTTTCAGAATTTAGTGCAGTAGTCTCCCCTTATCCATGGTTTCACTTTCCATGGTTTCAGCTACTTGCAGTCAACCACAGTCCAAAAATACTAAATAAAAAACCCCAGAAATAATTCATAAGTTTTAAATTGTGCACCACTGGCTGGGCACAGTGGGTCACACCTGTAATCCCAGCACTTTGGGAGGCTGAGGTGGGCAGATCACGAGGTCAGGAGTTCAACTCCAGCCTGACTATCATGGTGAAACCCCATCTCTACTAAAAATGCAAAAATTAGCTGGGCATGGTGGCACACACCTGTAATCCCAGCTACTCAGGAGGCTGAGGCAGGAGAATCGCTTGGACCTGGGAAGCGGAGGTTGTGGTGAGCCAAGATTTCCCCACTGCACTGTGGCCAGGGCAACAGAGCAAAACTCCGTCTCAAAAATAAATAAATAAAATAAAATAAAATAAATTGTGTACCACCTCACTTCGCCCAGCCTGTGACATGAATCAACCCTTTGTCCAGTGTATCCACACTGTAGATGCTACCTGCCTGTTAATCACTAAGTGGCTGTCTCAGTTACCAGAATGACTACAGCTGTATTACAGTGCTTATGTTCAAGTAACCCTCATTTTACTTAATAATGGCTCCAAAGTGTAAGAGCAGAGATTCACATATGCCAAAGAGAAGCTGTAAACTGCTTCCTTTAGGCAAAAAGGTGAAAGTTCTTGACTTAATAAGAAAAAACTCATGTTGAGGTTGCTAAAATCTACGGTAAGAATCTTTCATCTGCAAAATTTCAAAGGAAAAAGAAATTTGTGCCAGTTTTGCTGTCACACCTCAAGTTCCAAAAGTTATGGCCACAGGCATGATAACCTTTATTACAGTATATTGTTGTAATTATTCTATTATTTTTGTTGTTAATCTCTTATTGTGTATAATTTATAAACTTTATCATAAAGATGTAAAAATAGGGAAAACATAGTATATATAGGGTTCAGTACTATCTGTAGTTTCAGGCATTCATTGGAGGTCTTAAAACACATTCTCTGCAGATAAGGAGAAGACTGCTGTATTATTAAAAACTAAATTGTAGGCTGGCGCAGTGGCTCATGCCTGTAATCTCAGCACTTTGGGAGGCAGGGGCAGACGGACTGACTGAGCTCAGGAGTTGGTGACCAGTCTGGGCAACATGGTGAAACCCTGTCTCTACTAAAATACAAAAAATCTGCCATCAAGAGGACTCGGAAAATAAAAAAATAAATAAAAATAAAAATAAAAAAATTAGCCGGACATGGCGCCATGTGCCTGTAGTCCCAGCTGCTCGGGAGGCTGAGGCAGAACTGCTTGAACCCAGTAGGCAGAGGTTGCAGTGAGCCAACATCACGCCACTGCACCCTAGCCTGGGCAACAGAACGAGACTCCATCTCAAAAAAACAAAACAAAACAAACTACATTGTAATGTGTTAGTCAAAAGAGACAAGGTTTAGTTAAGCCTTATTCACTGTACATGAGAACTGCTTTACTTGAATTAGTATGGTATTAGCCAAGTGTGGTGGTGTGTGCCTGCAGTCCTAACTACTCAGGAGGCTGAGGTGGGAGGATCACTTGAGCCCAAGAGGCAGAGGTTACAGTGAGCCAAGTTCATGCCACTGCACTCCAGCCTAGTCGACAGAGCAAGACCTTGTCTGAATCAATTAAAAAAGGCCCGGTGAGGTAGCTCACAGCTATAATCCCAGCACTTTGGGAGGCTGAGGTGGGCAAATCGCCTGAGGTCAGTAGTCCAAGACCAGCCTGGCCAACATGGCAAAATACCATGTCTACTAAAATACAAAAATTAGCTGAGCATGGTGGCAGGCATCTGTAGTCCTAGCTACTAGGGAGGCTGAGGCAGGAGAATCTCTTGAACCCAGGAGGAGGAGATTGCATTGAGCCAAGGTCACGCCATTGCACTCCAGCCTGGG